CAGCTGGCTTGTCTGTCCGCTTGTCTGCGGGGGTACAGGGAGGGGGACGAGATGTGAGGCAACTCTGCTCACTCCTGGCCCCAAAGAGGGGCAGACGGCTCCGGCACAGAGGGGCTCTTGGGGCCGGGGCCAGGGGGACGCAGCACCGAGTGCAGCCAGGCCAGGGTACAATGCAACCAAGGCATTGCGGAGAGGGATTTGGCCATATCTCCAGGCACTACAGAGACGTGGCCTCTCCGTGCCTCAGTTTCCCCTCTGCAGAGGGCTAGTGCTCCAAATCTCCTGGGCAAAGGGTTTTGAGAATGATCCTGGGAAAACATTTGATCCCAATGGCTTTTGATATTAAGTGTTTTTAACAGCAGACCCTATACTAATATGCTGAAATAGCCTTTACGCCAGGGCTGGCAGCATGTCCCCCCGGGAGTGCAGGATCCCAGCCCAAGTGGACCTTGCTGGGGCAGCCAGTTACCGAGGTTGTACCAGACGTCCATCTCCCCGCTCAGGGTCCGGACCTCGATGATTGTCTGGCCCAGGAAGTCGTCGGACTCCCTCTTGAAGCGCTGCTTGACACGGGACTTGATGTCGTCGTCTTCATCCCAGACGCGGACCTTGATGCGGTCGGAGGAGTTATGGCACTCGCTGGGGAGGCGAAAAGGGGCAAGCCCCGGGATGAGCAGGGAAACCTTTCCAGCCTCTCCACAGCCTCTGCTTCCTTAAACAAGAGGGACCATCCCAGCACTGGGCAGGAACTGGGGAAGAGAGTGGATATGGGGACACCAACCCTCCCCGGTGGGCTCAGCGGGGCTCCGCACCGTGCCCAGGCAGCCCCAACACAGCCTGGATCAATCCCCATCGCTGGGAGCCAAACCCTCCATGGCACAAAACCAGCACTCCCAGTGACCCCAGCAGCCCCGCTCCACCCTCAACTGGGGCAGGATGAGGGTCCCCACCACCCCGCAGGGACGTGCCGGCAGCCAGCGCAGCCCAGCATGACCGCGAGTGGCCAGGAAGGGGGACGGAGGGGCCAGGGGGGAACTTACAAATGGAAATTCTCCTCCCAGACCGGGTTGAGATTGCCGTAGATTGTTTTAGTCCTTTTTTTTGTCTTTCCAACCTGGACAGTGACATACGGGTCACTGGAACCCGTCTTATCTTTTGCTTGCAGGCCCTGGGCACAAACGACTGCAGCACGGCGCGGCGCAGCACCCACGCAGGCCCATCCGCACGAGGCGCATGCACGGCACGCACAGCGGAGAGAACGGAGAGAGGAGTCAGTGCCACAGCCACACCGAGATCCCCGCAACAGGCACCTTGTGTCCCCCGGGGCTGAAGCCGCTTTGCAGGATGAGGGCCGGGAGGGGGATCCTTGTGCAAGGGGACAGCCACGTGGTCCCCCACGGCACGTGGTGCCAGGCGCAACCGGTGCCTACCCGTGATGCTGATCTTGGCCGACCATTTGGAGGTGCCGTCCAGGACACTCTGCTTCACTGCCTTCATTTGCTGCGTGTGTGTGGTCTTGGTGACCCCAAACACCTCCTGGATCAGCTCAAATATCTCCGGCTTGTTGCGCTCCCGGATCTTCATGCGGTCCTTGAGCACCATAATGATATTCTGGGTCCTGTCCTCCGCTCCATGCTTGGAGCTCTTCTCTGCTGCCCCTGGGAGAAAACAGCCATGGGTGAGACGGGGCAGGCAGGCGGCATCCAGGAGAGAGCCGAGAGCTCCCCAAGCCCACCACGCATGAATGGATTCAAACCTGGAGGGGTCTACACCCTGTCCAGGACAGATCTGCCCTGCTCGCCACTTCCCCCGTGCACAAAGCAGGAGTCCAGCTCTCCCTGGGCCCCTCCCTCCTCCCTCTCCAAAGTGAGAAGGGATGAGGCCGCAGGCAACGGCTCCTTACTCTGCAGGCAGTCGGCATTGAGCAGGTCCTGGCACTTCTCGTGACACTTGACGCCACACTCGGCGCAGCGCATGCCCTGCCGGGCGATGCCCCAGAGCAGCCCCTCGCACTCGTAGCAGTAGGTGGGGGTGGTGGCCGTCCACACCTCAAAGTTGTGGGGCGTCGTGCAGGAGATGGGGTACACTAAGGCTTGCAGGGTCTTCTTGTAAACATGGTTTTTCTGTGCAAGGACGGAAGAGGGAGGGGGAGAAAAGCTCAGGCAACGTACGGCAGCTGAGCCGTGCAGCAGGGTGTGGAGACCCCATCCACGGGTGCTGGGCCACATGCAACGTCACCCCTGGGTGCGGACAAGCCGGGCAGAGGACAAACACCACCATCCCCAGATGCAGCCGTGAGCATCCTGGCTGCTTTGGCATTGCCGGAGAAGGATGCTGGTGTGGCACAGACCCCGCATCTCCGTTGCTGGCCCGGCCGGCTGGGGCTCAGCCCTCCCACCATGACGCCCGCCCACCAGGACTACCCCACATCCCAGCCAACCCCAGTACCTACCAGCTCCTCATTGTTCAAGGTGCTCGAGGCCAGCGCGGACGTGATTCCCGCTTTCCTGGACTGGACCAGGGACTGTGGGAAAGAAACACAGTTCCCAGATCTGGCACAGCACGGGGTGTCCCTCCCGCACTCCTTTGGGGTCCCAGAGGCCGGAAAACGCCTGGGACAGACCCCCACCCCAGACAGGGGTGGGTGCTGGCTGCATGGGCTGAGAGTGGGGACAGCCCAGCTCCCAGTGATGCCAGCGCTGCGGAGTGCCAACCCGCTGTGCAGTGGGACTGGAACCAGTTCAGCAGCCTGTGGCATTCCCAGTTCAGCCCTAATGGGGCAGAGCCTCTTGACTTGTGTCTGAGACCCCAGGGAGACCGGGGTGGGGGGCACTTACCATTGCCTGTGGGCAGCCAGGGCCAGCGAGGGGGGAATAAAAGGCTGTTAGTGCGAGCCACCTCACAGCAGAGCAAGTCCTGGCCCCTTCCCTGCCGGAACAAGTGGGAATCGGGGCAACACCAACCCCTCACCCAGCACCAGGCCAGTCCCTGGGGGGG